ATACCGCCAGCCAAGAGTACTATATCCAGCAAGGCTATCCTTCAGAAACAAGGGGAAAATAGTATATTTTCCAGACAAACAAAAGCTGCGGGAGTTCATTACCACACAACCACCTGTGCAAGAAATCCTCAAGGAAGTCCTGCACCTGGAATCCAAAAAACAATAATCACTACCATGAATACACAAGAAAGAACAAAACCCACAGGTAGAACAAAAATGCAAATGAGAAAGAGAAAGAAACTAAATCTACCACCACAAGAAAACCATAATGACAATGTAGTACTGCCCCTGCTGCAGTTCTGATTTTAGTAGTTTCGGTCGTCTCACTTTGATCCTTGGTCAGTCTAGATAAACGTTTGCAAATTTTGTTGATCTTTTTAAAGAATCAGCTTTTGATTTGTTGACTTTCTCAACTATGTTTTAATTCCCTATTTCATATATTTCTGTTGTGACCTTTTTTATTCCCTATGTATATTTGTTTTGATTTACTTTGCTCTTCTGTTTCTCTTTTCTTAAGGTAGAAGTTGACATAACTGACTTGGGATTTTTATTTTTTATATAGGTGTTTACAAGTACAGATGTTCACCTCAGCACGGCGCAAGCCCTGCATCCTACAGACGTTGATGTGTTGGGCTTGGATCTTTCTCTCAATGTCCTCTTTAATTTCCCTGTGATGTTCCTTTTGATCCATTGTTTACTTAGGAGAGTTTTTAATTTCCACATATTTGTGAATTTTCTAAGTTTACTTCAGCTACTGTGGTTAAAGAACACATTTTCTAGGTCACTTTAATGTATTGAGACTGGTTTTCTGGCCTAAACTTTTACAAATAAATAAGCAAAGAACAATAAATAAATAAATAAACTCTTTAAAAATAAATTTTAAAACTATTTTAAATATGATTAAAGATTTTTTTAAATGACCATAATGAGTAAATAGATGGGAATCTCTACAGAAAAATCAAAAATATTTACGAGGACTAAATACAAATTCAGGACTAAAAAGCACAATTCTCAAAGGATAAAAATCACTTAGGAGCTTAACAGTAGGTTGGAGACGGCATAAGAAAGGTCAGCGAACTTAGAGATATATCCACAGAAATCCACTGAATCCAACCCAAAGAACAGAGAGAGAATTAGTGGGGGGCATTCGGTGTCCTCTAGGACACTGAGCAGCTTCCAAAATATGTGAAACTGAAATCCCAGGAAAGGAGAAGAGACATGATGGGGATGAAGACTTTAAAAAAACAAAGACCAAACTTTCCCAATGTGGTGAAAACATCAATTTACACGTAGATGCAAGAATCTCAGCCAGTTCTGAACGATGCCGGAGCCTCAGCTGCAGGGATGGACCCCACTGGAGCCCACGTGTGCACATCCAGCTCTCTCTGGGACATTCACCCCTTCAGGGCCAGCCTGGGGCTCAGGCCTTGGGCAGCTCCAGAACCAGCAGGGACACAGGGGCCTGGGGAAGTCCTGGTGGACTGTGTGTTTCCCGGAGAGTGGAGAGCAGCTCATGGTGGCCGAGCATCCCAACCTGTGCAGGGGGTCCCAGGACCCACCAACCCCACCCCTGTGCACCCACCCACATGAGACAGCCTCAGCATACTGGACTTCCCCACATACACTGACACAGAAAATACGAGAAGAAAAAGGAACCTCAGGAAATAAGCCGTGACCTGGTTTCAATCCCGTTCTGACTCTTTGCTGGGGGGTTGGGGCTGGGGTGTGGGAAAGCTCACATGTGAAGGACACCGAACTGCCCACCCCCAGGAAGCCTGAACTGCTTTAACACAGCACAACCACACGACGAGCAGCTCAACGACATCCAAGACGCAATTGCCAAGGGGTCCCCCATGCACCCCACCTCAGTGAGTGAGGCCAGACACAGAGGAGAAGATGCAAGAAAGTGGGAGCTGGAACCAGGAGACAGCAGAGAGCACTTCCAGTCTTGACAAGCAAAACAGGCCACAGGTGAGCAGGGGAAGGAAAAGGCAGGACAGGCACAGCAGCTCAGGGGACAGGGACAGAGCAGCCTCAGGTGAGCAGGGGCAGGATGGACAGGACAGCCACAGCAGCTCAGGGGACAGGGACAGAGCAGCCTCAGGGGAGCAGGGGCAGGAGAGGCAGGACAGCCACAGCAGCTCAGGGGACAAGGCAGAGCAGCCTCAGGGGAGCAGGGGCAGGATGAGCAGTGGGAGCTCCATGAGCTCAGGGGACAGGACTAGAGCAGCCAAAGGTGACCATGGACAAGACCAGCAGGAGAGCTCCAGGAGGTCAAAGGACAGGAGCAGAGTAGCCACAACTGAGTAGGGTCATGATGGACAGGAGCTCAGGGGACAGAAGCAGAGCAGCCTCAGGTGAGCAGGGGCAGGACAAGCAAGGGGAGCTGCAGGAGCTCAGGAGACAAGAGCAAGGGAGAAACAGGTGAGCATGTGCAGGATGGACAAGGGGAGCTGCAGGATCTAAGAAGAGAGGGCTAGAGCAGCCACAGGTGAGCAAGGGCAGGAGAGGCAGAGGCATCCCCAGTAGCTCACGGGACAAGGGTAGAGTAGCCACAAGTGGGCAGGGGCAGGACATGCAAGGGGAACCACAGGAGCTCAGGGGACAGGACCAGAGCAGCCACAGGTGACCGGAGTACAGGACAGGCATGGGGAGCTCCAAGATGTCAGGAAACAGGAGCAGAGCAGCCAAAGGTGAGCTGGGGCTAGACATGCAGGGGAAGGTCTGTGAGCTCAGAGGACAGAGACAGAGTAGCCACAGAAAAGCAGACACAAGACAGGCAAGGGGAGCTCCAGGTGCTCAGGGGACAGGAATAGAGTAGCCACAGTTGACCAGAGTCAGGACCAGCAAGGAGAGCTCCACAGGGACAGGGCAGTCACAGGTGAGCAAGGGCAAAACAGGCAGTGGGACCTCCAGGCGCTCAGGGAACAGGAGCTGAGCAGCTGCAACTGAGCAAGGGCAGGATGGGCAGGGGTAGCCTCAGGAGCTCAGGGGACAGGGGCAGAGCAGCCACACGTGACAGGGACCAGAACATGGGGAGCTCCAAGATCAGGGTACAGGCACAGGGCAGCCACAGGTATGCAGGGGCAGGACATAGAGGGGAAGTTCTGGGAGCTCAGGGGACAGGGACAGCAGCCACAGAAGAGCGGAGGCAGGACAGGCAGTGGGGGGTCCAGGCAGGCACTCACAAGACAGGAGCTGAGCAGCATCAGGGAAGCAGGTACAGGACAGGTAACTGCAGCCGAAGGGGGTCAGGGGACAGGGACAGAGAAGACACAGTTTAGCAGGGGCAGGAAAGGCAAAGGCATCACCACTAGCTCAAGGGACAGGACTAGAGCAGCCACAGGTGACAAGGGGCAGAACAGGCATGGGGAGCTCCAAGATCTCAGGGTACAGGAGCAGAGCAGCCATAGGTGAGCAGGGGCAGGATGCGCAGGGCTTGCTGCAGGAGCTCAGGGGACACACAGCAGCCACAGGTTAGGAGGGGTAGAACAGTCAGGAGGAGCTTGGGGGACAAGAGCAGAGGAGAAACAGGTGAGCACATGCAAGATGGGTAAGGGGAGCTCCAGGAGCTCAGGAGAGAGGGGTAGGGCAGCCACAGGTGAGCAGGGGCAGGATGGGCAGGGGGAGCTCCAGGAGCTCAGGGGACAGGGACAGAGAAGCCAAAGGTGACTGGGAGCAGAACACGGGGAGCTCCAAGATCAGGGTACAGGGGCAGAGCAGCCACATGTATGCAGGGGCAGGACATACAGGGGAGGGTCTGGGAGCTCAGGGGACAGGGACAGACTAGCCATAGGAGAGCAGAGGCAGGACATGCAGGGGAAGTTTTGGGAGTACAGGGGACAGGGACAGAGCAGCCATGAAGAGCAGAGGCAGGACCGGCAAGGAGAGCTCCAGGAGCTCAGGAGACAGAGAGCAGTCACAGTTGAGCAAAGGCAGTGGGAGTTCTGGGCGCTCAGGGAACAGGAGCTGAGCAACCACAACTGAGCTCGGGCAGGGTGGGTAGGGGTTGCCCCAGGAGCTCAGGGAACAGGGGCAGAGTAGCCACAGGTGACCAGGAGCAGAACATGGGGAGCTCCAAGATCAGGGTACAGGGGTAGAGCAGCCACATGTATGCAGGGGCAGGACATACAGGGGAGGGTCTGGGAGCTCGGGGGACAGGGACAGACTAGCCACAGAAGAGCAGAGGCAGGACAGGCATGGGGAGCTCCAAGATCTCAGGGTACAGGGCCAGAGCAGCCATAGGTGAGCAGGGGCAGGATGCACAGGGCTTGCCGCAGGAGCTCAGGGAACAGGAGCAGAGCAGCCACAGAAGAGCGAAGGCAGAACACGCAAGTGGAGCTCCAAGAGCTCAGGAGACAGAGACAGAGCAGTCACAGTTGAGCAAGTGCAGAACAGGCAGTGGGAGCTCCAGGCGCTCAGGGAACAAGAGCTGAGCAGCCACAACTGAGCTGGGGCAGGGTGGGTAGGGGTTGCCCCAGGAGCTCAGAGGACAGGGGCAGAGCAGCCACAGGTGAGCAAGGGAAGGATGGGGAGGAGGAGCTGCAGGAGCTCAGGGGACAAGAGCAGTGCAGCCACAGGTGAGCACAAACAGGATGTGCAAGGGGAGCTCCAGGAGCTCAGTGGACAGGGACACAGCAGCCACATATGAGCAGGGGCAGGATGGACAAGGGCAGCTCCAGGAACTCAGGGACAGGAACTGAGCAGCCACAGGTATATGGGCACAATAGGCAGGGGGAATTCCAAGCGCTCAGGGGACAGGACCTGAACGGCCAGCACTGAGCAGGGGCAGGACAGGCAGAAACAGTCCCAGGAACTCAGGGGACAGGGACAGAGAAGTCACAGGTGAGCAGCGGCAGGAGGGTTATGGGGACCTCCAGGAGCACAGGAGACAGGTACAGATGGGCCACATGTGCACAGGGGCAGGATGGACAGGGGGATGTCTGGGAGCTCAGGGGACAGGAGCAGAGCAGCCACAGGTGAGCAGGGGCAAGACGGGCATGGATAGCCCCTTTAGCTCAGGAGACAAGGGCAGAGCAGCCTCAGGTAACAGTAGCCACATGGGAAGAGCTCAAGGCACTGGGGCAGAGCAGTCACAGGTGAGCAGCTGCAGGAGGGGCAGGAGCAGCCCAAAAGCTCAGGGGACAGAGTGCTGAGCTGCAGGGAGCCCTGGGCTCTGGTGTGAGCTGACCAGGTGCAGGCTGCAGGGACAGCTGAGGTCTGAGGAGCGCTCAGGTGAGCCTCCATGTGCACAGGGGACAGTGTGAGCTGAGCCCAGTGAGCGGCTCCAAGGTGCTGGGATGGATAGGGAAGGGGCTCGGGGCTGAGGTCACCTGCACGGACAGGTGCGGTTGCAGAGAACAGGTGCCCAGGGCCCGGAGGGGCCCTTCAGGGCTGAGCAGAAGCTGCCCAAGCCTGGGATGCAGGTCACAGGAGAGCAGGAGGCCAGGCTGGGCCGTAAAGATAAGAAGTAGGGACAGGGGTCAAAGGGGACAGGTCTGGCAGGTACAGGCTTAGCTTCCTTGGAGGCCGGGGCTGCACCTGACCCACACACCAAGGTCCTAGTGTCACTAGGCCAGCACCAGAGAAATGAAAGGGGCCTCCCTGAGGCCTGGGGATGCTGGCTCCATGCAGGAGATGAAAGAGCAGGGCAGGAGCAAGACTCCTACCGGTGCTCAGGGGGGAAGGGGTAGGAGTTTGGGGAGCCTGGGCCGAGCTCATCAGGGTCCCCACCAGGAGGAAGGTTCTGGATGGAGCAGGAGCTGGATAGGGAGGCCAGGAAGGACAGGACAGGCCACAGCCCGCCCAGGAGCAGGAAGGGTGGAGGGCAGGGCTGCTGGAGGGAGGGGCTCTGGGTGAACCACAGGAAAGGATTCAAGGAAGACCCCAGGAGGGACTGCGGCCAGGAGCTTGGGGACATAGCACAGATGTAGGATCCTGGGCTGGCATGGGGTGGGTGAGACCCACAGAGAGCAGAGGTACAGGGGTCGGTGGGGAGTCTGAGGAGCGTGGGCTGATTCAGGGCAGGGACGGTGGTGCTGGGTCCAGGGATGGGTGGTGCTGACCTGACCAGAGACGGGGCCTGGGCTCCTTGCCTGCAGAGCCACCTCCAGAAGACTTGGGACCCAGAGGCAGAGAGCAGCCATGACCTAGCTCTGGGCAGAGGGGCAGGGAGCAGAGCAGGGCCAGAAAGTGGCCGAGCCCCACCTACTGGGGAGGTGCCAGCTCGGGCAGGGCAGGGCCAGCCTGTGGAGACAGGGCCAGGGACTGGGGCATCAGCCAGAAGCTGGCCAAGAGCTGGGGCCACCATCTGGCTGGGCACCCACCAGTGGCAGGAGCAGAGGTGAGGGGCTGTGTGCCCAGGCAAGCCATGCCCGAGGTGGCACGGGTGAGCGGAGCCAGGAAAGGGGCTGGAAGCCCAGGACTGTGCTGGCTCCAGGCAGAATCATGTGCTGACGGGGCTGAGGAGCCCAGTGTCTGAGGCTGCAGGACACCAGGCCCTGGGCAGCAGAGAGCCACAGCTGAGCAGCTGGCCTGCAGACGTCCTGAAGCACATTGGGGACGTGGCCTGTCCTGGAGCCTCCTGGGCAGAGAGGGGGCTGAGGAGAGGTAGGTGGGGCCAGCCAGGTGGGCACCTGACACCCAGGAGCCCAGCACTGGATCCCTGCAGAGGGACCAGGCCCTTGGAGAGCCGAAAACAGAGGGGTCTCCAGGGCTTTGTCCCTTGTGTCTGATGCCCTGTTCACACGGTGCCTCCTCTCTTGCAGCCAGTACCAAAGCCCCCTCAGTGTTCCCCCTGGCACCCACCTGCAAGAGCACGGACGGCTCCACGGTGACTCTGGGCTGCCTGGTGAAGGGCTATTTCCCTGAGCCAGTGACTGTGTCCTGGAACCAAGGCGCCCTGTCCAGCGGTGTGCGCACCTTCCCGTCTGTCCTGCAGTCCTCAGGCCTCTACTCCCTCAGCAGCATGGTGACCGTGCCTGCCAGCACCTGGCCCAGCCAGAAAGTCACCTGCAACGTAGCCCACCCGGCCAGCAGCACCAAGGTGGACAAGATGATTGGTGAGTGGACAGGCTAAAGGAAGGGACGTCCAGTGGAAGGTAGGCTCAGGATCTGCCCTCCCTACCTCGTCTTGGCAACCCGGCCAGGGTCATTGACCCCAGCCCAGGACAGTGAGGGAGGCTCCTGTCTGTTTCCCCACCTGGAGGTCTCTGTCTCCACCTCTCCAGCTAAGGGAGAGGGTCCTCTTTGTGTTTCCACCAGGCACAGTGTGGCACAAGATGGATGTCCCTCTGTGTGCTTACCTGTGTGCACAGAGGTGGGCACTGGTCTCAGACCTGCTGAGAGCCAGCTCTGAAACGAGCCTGGCCCCACCTTAAGTCCATCCAAGGGCCAAACTCTCCCTCCCTCAGCTGGACTCTACTCTCCTTCCAGAATTCAATAAGCCCCAATTTTCTCTCTCTGCAGAGCCCAGTACCCCCAAATCTGACTCCGGCACCACGTGTCCCAAGTGCAAATGTAAGTCAGCCCAGGACTCCCCTTCATCCCAAGGGGGGATGGGAGACTGAGGGCAGCATCTGAGAAGGAGGACAGGCTCCACCAGGTGCTGACCCCGCTGCCTCGGTCTCTCCACACCAGGTCCTGATAACCAGGGAGGACCTTCAGTCTTCATCTTCCCCCCAAAACCCAAGGACACCCTCATGATCTCCCTCACCCCTGAGGTCACATGCGTGGTGGTGGACGTGAGCCATGATGACCCTGAAGTCCAGATCAGCTGGTTCGTGGATGGTGAGCAGGTGCACACGGCCCAGACTTCCAGGGAGGAGCAGTTCAACAGCACGTTACGCGTGGTCAGCGTCCTGCCCATCCGGCACCAGGACTGGCTGAAGGGCAAGGAATTCAAGTGCAAGGTTAAGAACAATGCCCTCCCAGCCCCCGTCGAGAGAACCATCTCCAGAGCCAAAGGTGGGAGCGGTGGGGCAGGTGGGGTTGGAGGGGCAGGTGGGGCTCATGGGGCTGTCACAGCCACACCAGCAGACACTGGCTTGGCCATCTCCCCACCACGGGAGTGACCATCTGTGCTGACCTCTGTCCCCACAGGGCAGGCCCGGAGTCCACAGGTGTACGTCATGGCCCCACCCCGGGAGGAGATGACCCAGAGCACTGTCAGCTTGACCTGCCTGGTCAAAAACTTCTACCCCAATGACATCCACGTTGAGTGGGAGAGTGAGGGAAAGCCAGTGAACAACTACAAGACCACCCCATCCGTGCTGGACAGCGACGGCACCTACTTCCTCTACAGCAAGCTCACAGTGGACAGGAGCTCGTGGCTGAGTGGGAGTTCAGTCACATGCTCTGTCATGCACGAGGCCCTGCACAACCACTATGTGCAGAAGCTTATCTCCCACAATCCGGGTAAATGAGCGCTGCACCCGGCAAGCCTCTCGCTCCCCCGCAGGCTCTCGGGGTCCTGCGAGGACTCTCAACACCCACCCACCCATTCCCCCTGTACATACTTCCAGGCGTCACAGCAAGGAAATAAAGCACCCAGCACTGCCCTGGGACCCTGCGAGACTGTCATGGTTCTTT